GCCAAATGGCAAAAGTCTTAAATGTTTCAATCATTTCACCCTTTTTTAAGAAAGCTCAATAAGAGAGAAGATGGACATATTACATGATAAGATAGGGGAACTAGGTACTGCACCTATGATACTATATACCTTAACATTACTGTGAAATATCCATTATTAGAAAGACAGTTACCAATCAAATCCTATAGGATTTACCAGCTGGATACTGCAGGGGTGATTTTAATCCCTAATTCAGATATACCATGTAGTTTTTAAGATGGTACATTTCAACCTAATCTATTTCAATATAAAAGTTGTGTCACTCCACGGAAGAGGTTGAGAAAATATGAAAATATAAAGAACTGGAAGGAGGGAGGAGACTTGTTGAAAGGCAAATGTTTACCAATCTTAGTGTGGCTAAATCCAACATTTTATGATGTTGAATGATTATATCAATTCATTATTCAACATGGGTATTTTCAATGAATAACATATAGTAGCCACTAGCAATAAAATTTGTCACCATAAATAGGCACCCTTTAAATAATGAAACGTCATTAAAAACATTTAGTTTACTTGGCTTTTATTCTATATCATAAACTTCTTTGGTATGAATTTCCATAAAATTTTATTCAAAATGTTAACCAAACTGGTATGCTAATTTTAGCCAATGCATATATCATATTAACTAACCCAAGGGATTAAGTTCACATATTTGATGAAAAACTTCACCCCACTTCATTAAGTAAATACTGGTCAAGAGTAAGTGAGATAAAATACAACATTACATGTATCTCAACATCACAGGACATGATGAACTACTAAATCAAATAGCTTACTCCTATATATCATGTACATATACTCTTTGAGTAAAATATACAATTTTGAACATTTAAAACAACTACAAAAATTAACAAGGCATTACCATGCAAAATGTCACCACCTGCCATTTGTTACAGCTAATGAACCCTGAACACAAACTGCCACCTAGAGAACACACCATCTTCAAAAAGTGAGACTCTAACAATATGTCACCATTTATGGTGGTGACATAAAAATATAGTTAGGATGCAAATTCCTCATATATATGTACCTACTCTGAGAATTACAATCTAAACCCTTCAAACGAGAATATCCATGGCAATCACATTTGGCAATATAACAGTGATGTATGTATATGTACCTCACCAGTAATTATGGCACACATTTGTTAACATCTGCTATGTTGCTACTAACCTGTCTATGATATTAATAGGCCAATGTTATATTCAATGGAAAAATGATACACTGTCCCTGTGGTAATCAGGGTATAAACACTATATTATTTCTTGTGAGATTTCAATTTGAGCTCTTATGATATATGCTGAACATACAGTAACACTAATGAATGAAAACATTCAATCTGATTCCAGATTCTTAAAGTATGGTTATCTTACTTCCTTTGAAAACAACTACGTTGATCAAATTTAACATTGCTTCTATTTTCATAAATAGACTAAGATGAAAACATAGAATAGCAACTCTTTTAATCATAGAAGATAGGGAAGACCATTTACTTTAACAGGACCAATAATGCTTTGGCATAGGCCCTGCACCTATTTGTAATATACTGGTATTTATCATGAAATAAAGAAAACACACAAAAAAAAGAAAAGTATCTATAATAGACATCATGAACTCTTAATCATTCATAGGAAGTCTTCCATCTAAGGATGACAAGCTCTGGTTGACTTGGCAAGTTCAAGGGTTTCTTACCATTTGCATTCAAATCAAAGGCTAACATGAACTGTATTTCAATGTATTCTTTAGTTGTCCTGCAGTCAGACTAGGTCACCTGCCTCGGGTAAAACTATAAATGTTAATATAAAAGATAACAAATAACTTCTCTATCTATGTAAAAAGATCTATGCAACCAAAACTATATAATGTACATATTAAAAATACATGTCACTTTACTGCTAAATTTCAAATATAAAAATTGATATATGAACCATAGAATAAAAGGTCATCAGTTTTAAAATACAATTTTCAGTATCATGTGTATGCTAATACTCGAAGTCAATGTAAATGCTCTAAAATACTAGTTTAGTAAACAATCAAAATGAATTACTGTCTAAATATTTTTCAAGTATAAATAATTCTAGTTTGGTAAGACATAGCATTAATAGGTAACTAGAACTTGAGATCACATGATAGAGAAGTAGACTGATGGCAAAGTATACAAAACTAACACAATATGTACACAGTCCTCCAGGACATTTGGCTCCATTTTTACATTACAATTTCCTCACTGATTCAATTTGCATTCCATTTGGGTTCTCTGACTATTGGGGCCAATAAGAATATAACACCAGACACTACCTAATTTATTAAAGTAGTAGAGTTCATCGCCAGGATCCAGGATCAAAAGAAGCTTTCAAGGATATTCTATCAAATGAAGCTCAATTTCATGAGCCTTTGAAGTGGGTTAGGAATTTGGACAACATACATATAGAGAAAAGCACGAGGTTATAAACATTATACATACAGCAACTTATAAACTGTATCTATTAATAATTGAACCAGTAAACCTCAGTCCATAAAATTAAAAAAAATAAAAAGTAAAACTATAGAAGAATCATGAAGCTTATCATTTGTAAGACAACATCACTTAATTAACAAGAGAAGCTATGGAAGTTCAAGGTTGCAAAATGTCAGAGTTTACAGAGTACAAAAGCCAACAATATGAACTTCATAATTTTAATGGCCACTAATTATATACATATGCATGCATATTTATCCATTTTACCAGTGAATGGTATTTGAGTTTTAAACTGTGTTATCCTGACACCCAGGAGGTCATGTTACAAACATATCAGCATACATCATGTACATATGCATTGGTCACTGATATACACCATGTATAATATCACGCCTCTCTGACCTGCGCTACCAAGCATTGGTGTTCAATTTTCCAAACCAATCGTTCTTTAAATGCAGTTCTATTTTATTCATTTCTATCAAATATATGAACATAAAACCATATATTGTACTTTTTTATCAGTAATCAGGGGTTTCATGAGAACTTCTCACAACAGGCTAAATAAATGAAAACTTAGTACAGGCAAAATTATTGGAAATCATAATTTTAACATGGAAAAGTTGGAGTCCCTAAAAATGACAGGCAATTTTGTGAAAACAACTGGTTAAAATTGCCTGTTACCTGCTGCTAATGAAACCCATGGTAATGCATTATATATTACAGATCCAATGAGGACTAAACTTATGTTTGTAAGTAACAAAATGTAGACCTTACAGCTCATTTTAGGGCCATGTTATCTCATGAAGGAGATTATCTCATAGATTATGCAATTATGAAGTGTTATAATCTTCAACATATGGAGTGGCATCCTACATTATCTTACACTTCCTGTTCATGTATTAACGTTCATATTAAACACCAATATGTTTTAATAAATATCAAATAAAATCATAATATCAAGCTGGACTGAAAAAAAGTAATTTGTTTTTGAGGGTTAAGTTGTCAAGGTTACAGGGATATTTGATCATTTGGAGATCAAAGGTTGTCCTGCATTTTCGGAATTTTGATGCAATCCTCAATAGAGTTACATGTTATTTTTCAAATATCAATCACTCCTTCCCCACATTGTCTACATCTTTCAGTTTTGCACAAAGGGTGCACTAATGTACCTAGAATAGAGTGTAAAGAATATTTTTTTCATAAAATGTTTAAAAACAAGAAAATTCAGTGACAGTAAGATTGCATCAAAATTCCGAACATAGAGACCGACCTAAGCTATTTAGATATCAGACAGTAAATTATTTCACTACTCAAATGCATATAAAACATCTACAATTGTTTACTATATACAGATATGTAGATATAGCAGACTTATAGTGAACCATGTTAGCTAATACTAAATAGAGCTTGTTTTTCTATGGTGCTCGGTAGAGTTCCAACTCTGGGGAAGTGAATTCCTAGTCTGGAGACACACACAATTTTCTTTTGCATTATTTCAAAAGCAAATATCAGTTACAGTGGGGATCATAAAGAATTGCAAAAGCTATGAAAATTACATGCTGTCGCACGTGTAATAAATTCTTACCTCAGTGTATTCAGTGCTCTATTTTCTCCGTCTGAGTAAGTTCAAATATAGTGGAATTTGTGTCCCTAATGACAAATAAGAACTTCAAAAGTTGAAGTGGATATTCATATGTTATGCCGACTCTTCAAATGTTGAGGTGATTTTGTCGACCGATTGCGCCGGAACGGAGGACTGGCTCCCAGAATGCAACATGACACGTGCCAGCTTTCAAAATGCTGTTCCGCCATTTCGAAACATGTCATGAGTAAATACGGTAACTGATGTTGCATTCTGGGAGTCAACCGTCCTTGGATAACAAACATGGCGATTCATGAAAACATTCATTCGATTTGGTATGGATTTATCCATTATTTGCAGGTATGAAGCTTTGGGTTCATTTATTGTGCTACTTTAGTGAACGGGAATTATTTTTCTACTGCTTGGGAGAGTTTGAGACACGAAACTTGGAAATTAGCTCATTGTGACAAGTTGTGAACGTTGAGTTTTATTTTTGTCCCCCACTGTAAGTGAGTGGATAGGCCATGGCTGATAGTTATTTGTGCAAATCTTAAAGAAGTCAGTGAAGTTTGACTGAGAATTCTTTTACAAGAATACTTCTGAATAGAATCATTCATGGAGTAGATTCTAGGGTTGAAATATGTTGTTAGGTTATACGGGATCCATTAGATCTAGGCATTGAAGAAAAAAAGTTTAAACAACATACGGGGCTTAGATGTATGTCATCTTTCACTTTACACTAAAACTACCTGGAATATAATCAAACACTTGAGTATGTTTGCTACATTAATTTGCAGTTTGAAATGGACTATGGCCGCCATGTTGAATAAAATAGGCAAATGCCGGGTGAACTTTAGTTGCAAAATGCGCCTGTATTTCTATCAATATGGCCTGAATAACACAGAATTCTTAACTCACCTACAGCGATGGATCTCCTGCTTGTGAATAGTGACAATCGCACCCGAATCTAGGCTGAAATAATCCTAAAGTCTACCGGTTTCCTGAAAACTGTAATCCAAATTTTGCTGCCGAAGAGTACAGGAACTACCGCGGCAGAGTTAACCTACTTTCTGCAAAAATATAGTCCTATGATATTTGTTTCGAAAGTGTTTTGTATTCAACCAATTTAAGAGAAATTCTAAATTTTTTATTATTTTGATATAGCTTGATGTCAGACAAATGAAGAAATACATAAATGCGAAGAAAGGTTATTTTGTAAATTGATTTATTGAGCGGAGGGATTTAGAATGACATCATTCTATTATGGGATATGGCGGGCACTTGCTTCGTCAATATTCATAACTGTCAATCATTTGTGATATCTCCGCCTTTATAGACCCTTATAAGGAGATGTTTGGTTAGCTTGGTCATTCAAGAATGAAATTGTAAACATAGTAGTACTACCAGTCGTTCGTTACCCCTATCCCGTCCCGTCCCTACCCAACAAACTAGTTCTCACTTCGTTCTGACTCGAAACGGATTTCAACTGTGTACAAACGGATTGGACGTAGCCTACTTAGCCTAATACAAACCCGAACACGTGTACTCGACCTGGAAGGTCCTCCAGAACTTAGAATGTCCATGGACCTAGCCTCTTTCACGCCCGGTGATCGTGAATATGGGACGGAGGGGGGGGGGGAGCAGGCAATTTCTGCTAGGAAATTCAACAAATCTGGAAGATTTATTTTTTCAAGAAAAAGTTTACTATTGAATTGCTAAATGGATAGATGCACGGTATGGTAGAATATGTTAGGTTTTCTGGGATTTTTCTGAAACGATACGCTTCTAAGGTATGAGATCTAGATTATTAAAAAAGGCGCAAGGCCATCAACAGGCACAAATCAACGTTTTTGCTATAAATCAAGCAACAATGGTCTGGACGACCTGTAATAAATACTTGTAAGTGATCAGGGGCGTAGCCAGGATTAGTGGCGGTAGTACGCGAGGCCGTAGGCCGAGTCGCAAGGCCGCAGGCCGAGCCAAACTAGGGGGGTCCGGGGGCATGGATTTTTGGGCTTATTTGGCGCGTTCTGAGCGATTCTAGGTGCTATTCTAAAGTATTGAAAATAGTGTTTGAGTTGTCGTAAAAGATTTTCTCTTAGATTTCCAAGCCATGAACTCCAGGTAAACACAATAAAAGTAGAAAAACGTACGTAATTATTCATCTATTTCCATTTTGAAGTTTCTACAGCCGGGATCTACAGACCCTAGGACAATACCGAGTCGCAAACCCATGCTATGATAATTATTTGAAAAACACCTAAACGAGTTGTTTAGACTCGTTGTTTATGGTACCTTGTTCCCGGGACCTTGTTATTTAAAGGGTCCGAAAAGTTTAACGTTACTTGTTTTGCGTAATTTAGACTTACAGTATCCGTATCTTTAACTGCTTTGAGTTGTAACTGGTGATTTAAATCCTCTGGTGTAAATCGAGAATAATTGTACGTACTTTTAAGTGTTAATCTATCCAATAAGTGATACAAATACTGTATTTTGAATCAATCTTCTTTATCTTAATCAATCTACGTTGTCATGTTCATCTCTCACCTTGTCTTAACGCTTTTGAATTGTATATTGAATACATATTTATATTTTATCTCTCACCTAGTCTAAACGCTTTTGAATTGTATCATTGGGTTTTGAAGGGAAGGGGATGAGCAGTAAGTTTACCTTCATTTAACCTTCTTTGGGTCTGATTTGAAAGAAAAATTAACTGTACAGCTGTACAATATCGTCACTGCGAAATTTACAAAACAAAAACAAGTTTGTTTATTTTGCAAATAATATTAAAATAAGAGCTGATTTTCGAGACTTGAAAAAATGTGACGCTACGATTTTTTACCCCAAATTCCATACATATCAATTTTTACTAACGCCATAAGTGGATATCCTGACCGTTTTTCAAAATTCAATAACATTTTAGAAATATTATCCTCGAGATCTTGCTACCCTGTGAATTTTATCATGATTAAATAAGGATAAAGTATTTCATTTTTAGGTTGATTAAACTTTTAAAAAATGTGACGCTTGTCGTTTTGACATTGTAAGGCTGTTTGCGCCCTATTGTTTTGTTTTGGTATTTTGACGCCATAATGTTACGCTAATTTGCATTACTAATTTGCAATTTGCATTGTCCCCATTTTCGTGCGACGTGTATTACCCGTTTTCAATATAGTTGCAGACAACGGAGAAAAGTGCACCCTCGTTAGAATGATATGATCTGGGGATATGACAGGAACACGCAGTCCATCCTCACAATAGCCCCAAAAAGATGTTTGCATAGGGTTCAAAGGCAGACTGGGCTTAAATAAACTCTGATCACTTGTTTGACAATTAAAAACATAACAACATAACAACTGTTGGATTAAAATAAATGATTTATTTCAATTTGCACTTTTGGTTTCTGACTCTTAATAGTACGCGGCTGCGTATTCTGCGTATATGTGGCTACGCCCCTGGTGATGTTATCATAACTAAATTATGTCATTGCTGAATTTATAAAATAAGTTTCCATATGTGAAATAAAAAATAATCGAAAATAATGAATTTGGGACGGAGGGGGGGGGGGGGGAGGGGACGGAGGGGGGGGGGCAATATGTATATAAGACATGATTAGAGATGTTTTGCGACTTTAAGTCCTTTTACTCCAAATGTCCCCATTTTTCAGTCTCCAGGGGTATATCATCCAGTTTCTTACTAAGTTAATGAGTTCATTTTTCAAATACAAGAATTCGTGTGAAGTTGTTTCACTTTATAGAATTATTACTCCCCCCCTCCGTCCCCTCCCCCCCCCCTCCGTCCCATTTTAATTATTTTCGATTATTTTTTATTTTACGTATGGAAACTTATTTTATAAATTCAGCAATGACATTAATTTAGTTATGATAACATCACTTACAAGTATTTATTACAGGTCGTGTAGTCCATTGTTGCTTGATTTATAGCAAAAACTTTGACTTTTGCACGTTGGTTGCGTTGCGCCTTTTTTAATAGATCTTATATCTTAAAGGGTGACGCATATCGTTTAGCAAATCGAACGCTCGTTTCTGGTGTTGCTCACCATTTAGTATAAAAGGCCCGATCCCGGAATAATACTCAAGGGTTCACAGGTTTGAGGTCGTTGTGTCAACACCTCTAACTGTTATATAGCATAAGTATATTATAGATCGTCACACATTTATAAAAGGGTGATTTTTATTTTGACAAATCAATTCCACATTTATGGGTGAAGTTTCAGGATCTTCTATTTGTGTATAATAAGGAAAAATTGGCATCTAAATTTCCCCATAACGTTAGCACACAGCCTGGCATATGAAATATCCTACAAATGGAACAAAGCAAGACAAACCGGTTTCTAATACAAGGATTTATATTGGCTGTTGTACATGTATTCTTTGAACGCAATCACTCTTTGGATAACGATTTCAAAATCATTATAAACGGATTACTTTATCTCAAAGACAATTTCAATAAACTAGATTTTACAGAACTCCCCTTATTTCTTAAAAATGGACTGATCCAGTTGATTAGCCTGGAGCCGCCATATTGTTTTTATACGGGATGCTAATCGGAACCCTTTAAAAGAGTATCGGTTGAAAAATAATCCTAGAATACCTAACATATTTTATCATACCGTGCTCTTATTCAATTTGCAATTCAATCGTAAACTCTGTCTTGAAAAAATAATTTTACCAGATTTGTTGAATTTTCTAGCGGAAATTGCCTGCTCCCCCCCTCCGTCCCATTTTCACGATCACCAGGCGTGTAAATGTGTCTCGTCCGGAGACATGTCATCCCGAGATGACACCAGACATCACCACTCTGTTCAACTTGAACTATAACATCATTTTATACCATTAATTTCAATTTTCGAAAGAAAAAATTTATTTCGTAACGCTCATCCGAGGAGGGTCTCATCCTAAATGTGTCTCGTCCGGAGACGTGTCATCCCGAGATGACATGAGACATCACCACTCTGTTCAACTTGAACTATAACATCATTTTATACCATTAATTTCAATTTTCGAAAGAAAATTTTTTTTTCGTAATGCTCATCCGAGGAGGGTCTCATCCTAAATGTGTCTCGTCCAGAGACGTGTCATCCCGAGATGACACCAGACATCACCACTCTGTTCAACTTGAACTATAACATCATTTTATACCATTAATTTTAATTTTCGAAAGAAAAATTTATTTCGTAACGCTCATCCGATGAGGGTCTCATCCTAAATGTGTCTCGTCCGGAGACGTGTCATCCCGAGATGACACCAGACATCACCACTCTGTTCAACTTGAACTATAACATCATTTTATACCATTAATTTTTATTTTCGAAAGAAAAATTTATTTCGTAACGCTCATCCGAGGAGGGTCTCATCCTAAATGTGTCTCGTCCGGAGACGTGTCATCCCGAGATGACACCAGACATCACCACTCTGTTCAACTTGAACTATAACATCATTTTATACCATTAATTTTAATTTTCGAAAGAAAAATTTATTTCCTAACGCTCATCCGAGGAGGGTCTCATCCTAAATGTGTCTCGTCCGGAGACGTGTCATCCCGAGATGACACCAGACATCACCACTCTGTTCAACTTGAACTATAACATCATTTTATACCATTAATTTCAATTTTCGAAAGAAAAAATTTATTTCGTAACGCTCATCCGAGGAGGGTCTCATCCTAAATGTGTCTCGTCCAGAGACGTGTCATCCCGAGATGACACCAGACATCACCACTCTGTTCAACTTGAACTATAACATCATTTTATACCATTAATTTCAATTTTCGAAAGAAAAATTTATTTCGTAACGCTCATCCGAGGAGGGTCTCATCCTAAATGTGTCTCGTCCAGAGACGTGTCATCCCGAGATGACACCAGACATCACCACTCTGTTCAACTTGAACTATAACATCATTTTATACCATTAATTTCAATTTTCGAAAGAAAAATTTATTTCGTAACGCTCATCAGAGGAGGGTCTCATCCTTAATGTGTCTCGTCCGGAGACGTGTCATCCCGAGATGACACCAGATATCCCCACTCTGTTCAACTTGAACTATAACATCATTTTATACCAT